GTCATTGCAAATATGTTATAAACATGAAAGATAAAATCTTAAACATTTTTTCAATATTTAGATACTTTTGTTAGGGAGATATAAATTGTATAATTCTGCAAATTTTTACAATTTTATTCTATATTCATAATGAGCTAGTAAAGTTTGAATTTACGTTATTTGAATTGCAATTGTAATTAATACATAAATATTATTTCTTTATGGTCAAGATGGTCAAAACGATTAAAATCATTATTTTTCAAAGAATACATAAAGAACTGTAAATTTATAATTGATAATCAATGTAATCTACTAATGACATTAATTAAAGACAGTATTACTAACATCTTACTAACTTCGATAGATGTTTACAATCGATTTCCAATCACTTATTCTTTCATGTAGCTACAAAACCGATGCATCACTTATTAGGACAACTTTATTAGCTCTTTCCCATTGAGCTCTATCCTAGGATATTAGGATAGAGCTCAATGCTCTTTCCTAACATAAATTATGTATTTATTATAATACAGATCACTTATCTCATAGGATATTAATCTGAATTACATTAATTAGGTTTGATTAAAGATTCAATGCTTTAGGTTGATATGACATGATCGAGCAATTTAAGTAGTATGAATATCTTAATTTTGGATTAATACGACTAATGTTATTACATTTATTAATTGTAAAAGAGTAGGGACAAGGGACAATTAAATTGAAGCATCGTATCACACCAAATCCCAAATTCTCAGACTCTGCAATGCTTTCTGTAACTAAGATTCCATAAAATAAACTTGAAGCTCATATGTTCAATGTTTTCAAATATAAGATTATAGTTGAAGCTAAGAACTTTAATTCTTTTGTACATTTTCTCTATTACATAAAAATGGAACGTTATTAAATACAGGAAGCATTTATTGAGTTAAAGCCACTTTTCAATTCTTTGATGAAAAATCTAAATGTTGATACTAAACGAAATGTTGATAATGTCTTACTAAAAATCGTTAATAAGGATTTACAATAATGTCCTTTAAAAAATTGTTTCCATTTTGTCCATTTAACCAAAAGTATTTAATTAGAAGCTTTAGATAAGAGCTTTCTAATTGATTAGTGTGTTTATTATTACTTATTTGAATGAGAGTACTTAATGATGGTGTATCATTGTGTTGCATCTGATACATTGCGTCCATTTTGGAGTAACTTCGTACTTCTAATTTAGGCAAGAACAGAAAAAGAAGCCCATCTATGGATTTTTTTTCTATATTTGAAGAATAGAGAATAATATACGTTTATTCTGTTGCAGGTGACTGAGCCAAATTATGAATCGACTATTTTACAATAAAATTACTGCTATAAAGTATATATACTATGTTTCAGAAATCACCATGGAGTTAATAATGGGTGGCTAGGATGTAGTTTTTGTCTTGGCCACCCGATTTGGGTCTCCATATGCAATAACCTCCACGTGGTGAGACCTGGATACTCTATATTATTTGAAGTATGTAATTGCTAACTGCACATTGCTAGTAAGGGTCAGATGACATTATCAATTGCATACCAAGTAATATGAGCCAATGGCTAGAATCTTTCTTGTTTACAAGTAAATGAAAATATGCTAACTTGGAATTAGAATCGACACATATTGATGCAATTATTATTATTATAAAAGTCTTTATTGTATAAGATGCAATGAACAATTTCTTATATAAATATCTTATTCGTTTCCATTTCTATTTAAGCTATATAAATTAGGGAATGTGCAAACGCAATTCAAAGGATTTTCGTCGTTTCAAAAAATATAATTTTTAAAATGACGGAAATCCTTCAAATTGCGTCTGCACTTTTTCTGGTTTACTTTCTTTTAAATAATTTAAAGCACATGCGCCTTACATTTCAGTTGGGTCAATTTATCCCACACGGTGCTACAAAGTTTATACCAAATATAATTTTTGCCTCAGCACGGAGAGTAGGTTGTGGCATTGCAGTAGTTAATTAAATACACTTGATATATATAGAAATGACACACAACACACACGCACGCACAAAATGCAAATTTGATAAAAATATACAATAAAGTTAAATATGCAAAAAATCTACCAAATTACGATTTCGTCTGAGATAAAGTGACAATTATGCAATGAATAAATTAATAAATACTTATAAGAAACCTTCACACGCACACACGATATCCATTACACCATAAATATATGAAAGTACAATGATAAGTACGATAGAAACTTATGGACTAAATGGATAATACATCAAATTTGTTTTAATAAATATTTCACACACAAACTGGTCTTATAAAATAATTACGGTTTCGATACTTAATATATTGTCGTTTAGAGAAATATTACAGCCATATATGTACATATATATTTTTGTTCACGTTCATATGCGTGTTCACATAATATATATGTATACAGAGTGTCCCAAAAATGTTGTAACACATTGAAAGTGGTAGTTCGGAAGGTGATTTGAAACAACTTTTTCCTTAGCGAAAATGTCCGAGGCTTCGTTGAGGAGATATTAACGGAAAACACTGACCAATCAGAGCGCGAATATGCCGGTGGAGCGCTCGCGGTAGCGTATGAACGCGGACGCCTAGTGTGTAACCTCCTCTCCAACGGGATACTCGCGCTCTGATTGGTCATGGTTTTCCGTTAATATCTGCTCAATGAAGCCTCGGACAACAATTTCGCTAAGGAAAAAGTTGTTTCAAATCACCCCCTGAACTACCCTTTTCAAGGACCTCCAACTTTTTTGGGACACCCTGTATATATATATATATATATATATATATATATATATATATATATATATATATATATGGTTGTAATAAAAGCCTCTCAGCTAAATACACATTTTTACAAACTAAACTGTACATTTTTGATCATGTTCTACATTCGTAATCATAATATGTACACACTTCTGTCGCATTTTCATGAAGTTACACGATATGGTGTTTACACTGAATTGCTATACATTATCATAGACTAGATTTATGGATCACGGACTGAGATCGATTACTCTACTAAGTTAGCTAAGTCAAATTCAGAAGCAAATTATATAAATTATTTATGCAAATTGTAGTTTCATAATTCGATTTCTTACATACTTTATGGCTAACATATTACCATTCATTTGAAAATCATAGACTAGATAAAATACTAGATATTTGAGTGCTTAAAAAATATTCTATTATGATTTATTATATAATTATAATGAACTGTATCTTTCTATTTAACAAAGATAGGTAAAATAGAAAGATATAGTTTAATATATTTAATTAGCATACTTTATTTACATCTAATTGTTGCTTTTTGAATTGAAAACTTGGCTTAAACTGTTCAAGTTGGTGTCCGTGATTTCTTTGACTAGAGGCCACTCTTAATAATATATACTCTCACAGATAAATTATACGTGTTACTGCGCGTTACTTATATTTTATATTCCTTTGTGACTAGAATTTTTTTATAATTTGGTCAAAGTTACAAATATGGAAAGAATGAAATAAATTTCAAAAAATTCCTTGTAATAAATTAAATCACTTTGAGAATATTGACTTCAATCGGTGAAGGAAATATCTGTAGAACTCGATAAATTTTAAATTAAATTTGATTTCACGTCCAGACTTATTTCTAATTATTAAACACAGCCCTATAATAGTTCTTCCACACAATATTATTTCTTAAATGCTACTTTTTGTACTTATTCATTGGCCGATTGATCATTCACAAAATATGATCTTTGTCTTTCATTACTCAATTGTTTAATACTACTTAAATAAGATAACTTAATTCTGTACAAATAGCTGCCGATGTGGACATTTCTCATACAGAGCTAAACAACTCTTTGTGATCCTAACTTTTTGATTAAATTAACACATTTTTGTAGAGCATCACTTGACTTAGGACTGCAAAGGGTTCACTGAGATCGATACAAATGTAGGATAAAATAGCCAAAGCGATCAAAGTACAAAAGCAATGTAATTAGTTAATTTTATCGTTATTTTTAATGATTTTGAGCTGTAACAATTGTAGTTACAGATTATCACGATTTAAATAAATTATTTTACAGTGTTTGCAAATTTTGTTTACAAAAATGTTTCTTTCTATGACATTCTATACAATATCAATACTAGAATAAAATACTGGCACGTTCCCATAATAAAATAAAGAACCACATTTACGTTATCTATTGATAAATAGGCGATGCTAACAAATGGTTGGAGTAAGACAAAGCAATTGGTTAAAAATTCAACAGAAAAGAAATACTTTTCTAATCTTCTATGGCATCGCCAATCCACGGACAATGTTAATATTACAATTATTTATAGAATATACAATTATGTACGACACTCTGGAATTAAAATCAGAATTGCATTTACTTGTGGCCTGCATATTTGCTTGCGAATATGAATTTCTACTTACAAATAGTGCTTAGGAATAAAACTGACTAGAATAGCAAAGAAAATACTTATAGATTAATACTTGACATCAATACTGAGAAGTTTGGCATCTTGGAAATTAAAAATATTTAGGATTTAAAATATTTGAAATTTTATAAAAATGTAGTTTGAGTTAGTATTTTTTGTTTTCATACCAAAATGCTCTGAATTGTGAAAAATAAATTTGAATACAAAGTTTTATGGCCTTTTTATACTTCATAAGTTTTCT